TTAATCCTTTCTACTGCCTTTTTTGTTTCAATAGCATTTATTTCTGCTCTGATTTTTATTATTTCTCTCCTGCTGACTTTGGGCTTTGTTTGTTCTTCTTTTTCTAATTCAGCTAGGTGTAGTTTGAGATTGCTTCTTTGGGTTTTTTCTTTGTTAAGGTGAGCCTGTATTGTGATGAATTTCCCTCTTAATAAGGCTTTTGCTGCATCCTATATGAGTTTATAGTATGTTTTCATTTTCACTTGTCTCCAGATAGTTTTTTGTTTCTCCTTTAATTTCTTCAATGATCCATTGGTTGTTCAATAGCATTTTGTTTAGTCTACACTTCTTTGTCTTTTTCTCAACTTTTTTCCCTGTAATTAATTTCTAGCTTTATAGCGTTGTGATCAGAAAAGATACTTGTTATTATTTCAATCTTCTTAACTTTATTGAGGCTTGCCTTGTTTTCCAACATATGGTCTATTCTTGAGAATGTTCCATGCACACTTGAGAAGAATGTGTATTCTGCTGTTTTGGGATGGAGTGTTCTATATACGTCTATTATGTCCATCTGGTCTAGCTTTTCACTTAATTCCACTGTTTCCTTGTTGATTTTTTGTCTGGATGATCTGTCCATTGACGTGAGTGGAGTGTTGAGGTCCCCTACTATTATTGTGTTATTATTAATGTCTTCTTTTAGGTTTGTTAATAGTTGCTTTATGCACTTTGGTGCTCCTGTGTTGGGTGCATAGACATTTATAACTGTTATTTCTTCTTGATGGAGTGTCCCTTTGATCATTATATACTGCCCCTCTTTCTCTCTCTTTACCTGTTTCTTGAAGTCTACTTTGTCTGATATAGATATTGCAACACCTGCTTTCTTTTGTTTGCCATTAGCTTGTAGTATCATCTTCTATCCCTTCACTCTGAGCCTGTGTTTGTCATTGGAGCTGAGATGTGTTTCCTGGAGGCAGCACATTGTTGGGTCTTGTTCTTTAATCCATCTCCCCACTCTGTGTCTTTTTATTGGAGAATTCAATCCATTTACATTTAAGGTGCTTATTGATATATGAGGGCTTAATGCTGCCATTTTATCACTTGTTTTCTGGTTCTACTGCATTTCCTTTGTTTCTTGACCTGTGTATTTTGGTCTCCCAATCGAGTTATGTAGTTTTTATGTTGTGTTTCTTTGTTTTCTCCTTACTTATTATTTGTGTCTCTGTTCTGCTTTTTTGTTTACTGGTTACCCTCAGGTTTGTATTCAAGATCTCGTGGATAATATACTCCCTTTTCTTATGCCCTCTAATTTCCTTAGCCTTAACCAATTCAGTCCCTTTCCTCTTCCCCTCCTAAGTTGTTTTTCTCACATCTTATTCCATCTTGTGATATGAGTTTGTGGTTAAAATGACAAGATTATCTTTGTTTTTGGTGTTTTCCTTCCCTTTGTCTTTAATGCTATACTTGAGTATTTGCTGTCCTGCTCTGATTCTGTCTATGTATTTAACTCCTTACTCTGTGCTTTGTAACCCCTTTCTCCCTTTTTTTTTCAGGTATGAGGGCCTTCTTGAGGATTTCTTGTAGGGTGGGTCTCGTGGCTATGAATTCCCTTAGCTTATGTTTGTCTGGGAAAGTTTTTATTTCTCCATCATACCTGAAGGATATTTTTGCTGGTTAGAGTGTTCTTGGCCGAAGATTTTTATCCTTCAAAGTTTTGAATATGTCATTCCAGTCTCTCCTAGCCTGTAAGATTTCTGCAAGAAATCTGCTGAAAGCCTGATGGGGGTTCCTTTGTAGGTTATTTTCTTCTGCCTTGTTGCCGTTAGTATTCTTTCTTTGTCATTCACTTTTGCCAGTTTCCCTACTATATGCCTTGTGGTAAGTCTTTTAATATTGACATATTTAGGAGATCTGGCAGCCTCTTCCACATAGATTTCCTTCCCTAGATTTGGGAAATTCTCTGCTTTTATTTATTTGAACATGCTTTCTGCTCCACTCTCCTTCTCTTCTCCTTCTTGAATACTTATAATTATGATGTTGCATTTCCTAATTGAGTCCGATATTTCTCAGAGACTTTCTTCATTTCTTTTTAGTCTTAGTTCTCTCTCCTCCTCTATTTGGAGCATTTCAACATGTCTATCTTCGATTGTGCTGATACACTCCTCTATGGTGTCCCCTTGAGCATTCGTTCAGGGAATCCATATTTTGTTTTATTTCTTCCATTGTATCTTTCATCTCTAATATTTGATTGATTCTTTATAGTTTCAATCTCTTTTGTGACGTATCTCCTAAACTCGTTGAATTGTTTCTCTACATTCTCTTTTACTTCATTGAGTTTTTTGATGATAGCTATTTTGAATTCTTTGTCATTGTATTTCTGCGTCCTCAGGACTCATTTCTGGGTACTTGTCGTTTTCTCTCTGGTCTGGAGATCTAATATAATGTTTGATATTGCTAGAGGGAGTTGTTATGTTCTTTTGCATCCTGGCATTATTTAATCACAGTTACCACCTATTGCAGGGGTCCAGAGCCACATATTCTGAGCCCTCTGCTTTCAGCCGAAATCCCAGGGGCTGGAGCCACACTGAACAAGTGAAAGGAGGGCGCTTTCTCCTGTATGCTCTCAGGGTTTTCTCCCTCTACTCTCTTGGGGTGTTGACTTGATAAGGTCACCCCCTGTGAATGGTTTCACCCCAGTAGAGGGGTTCCCTTTAGGCTGCTACAGCCTTTGACATTCCTTGACGTCAATGTGAATGAACATCCCCTCCCCCATTCCTTCCCTCTCGGAGGTCCCCCATGGTCCCAGATGGCAGTCTTTAAGCGGAGGGAGTGAAGACTTCTCTTACCCTGTCCCACTCCTCTGAGGGGGGCTCCAGCCTCTCTGCCCTCCATTGTATGGCTGCGTGGGTCTCGCCAACATTTTTTGTGTTGTGTTTGGATGTCCTCTGTTGGATTATGGATTTTTTTGTGATATATCGGAAGGGAGAGATTTCTGAGAGACCTCACTCCACCATGATGCTGATGTCACTACTTTTTATGTTTTTGATGTCACAATTTACATCTTGGACCTGGAGCAAGGCAGCAGGAGGGCACGAAGGTGATGTGAACCAGCCTCCATCTTTGGAGAGTATTTCAGTAGGCCCCTAGATTAAATTAGATTCCTGCCCCTCTGGCCAAATATTTAAGATAAACTAATAAGCCTCTTTAACAGAAAGACTGGGTGTTTTTCAGTCAGCTGCCTCTGTGATGGGCCCTCGGGTGGTTGAGTCCATGTGAGCCCCTTAAGAACTTTCTCAATTCACTATAGCCTTGTGGTTCCTGCAGACATAAGCCCCATTGGTCTTCAAACCTAGATGTTTTGGGGGCTCATCTCTCAGCTGCAGGTCTTAAAAGTTGGGGTGCCAGCTATGGGATTCAAACTCTCTGTTCCTCAGGGAGAAGTTCCAGTTGATGAGTTCCCTCCCATTTATGGGGTTTATGGTGGGATTGTGTCTCACCCTCTCTTATCTGTTCAATGTGGGTTTTTTCTCATTCACCCAATGTATAGGAGTCACTCGGCTAGTTTCTGGGTTTCTTTCAGAGGAAACTGTTCTGTATGTAGCTATAAATTTGACATGCCCATGGGAGGAGGTGGCTTCAGGATCCTCCTATGTTGCCATCTTGAATCCTACTACTATAGTTTTCTTTTCTTGTGATGTTTTTGTCTGTCTTTGCTATCAGGGTAATTCTGGCCTCATAAAATTAGTTTGGAAGTATATCCTCCTTCTCAGTTTGTGGAAGAGTTTGAGCAGGATTGGCACTAGCTGTTCTGTAAATGTTAGATAGAATTCACCAATGGAGCCATTTGGTACTGAGATTTTCCTTCTTGCAAAGATTTGAATTACTCATTCTAATTCCTTACTACTTGTAGGTCTATTCGAATTTTCTATTTCTTTTTGATTCTGTCTTGATAGGTTGTATGTTTCTAGGAATTTATTAATTTATTATACATTATACAATTTGTTGGTTATCATCATTTACAATAATCTCTTATGATCCCTTTTATTTCTGTGGCATCAGTTATAATGTCTCCTCTTCCATTTGTAATTTTGTTTAGTTAGTCTTTTTTTATCAGTCTGCCAAAAGGTTTGTTAACTTTATCTTTTGAAAAACCCAACTTTTAATTTCATTGATTTTTCTATTTTTAAAATTTCTGCTCTAATATTTATTATTTCCATCCCTCTGCTAACCTTGGAATTTGCTCTTCATTTTCTAGTCCCTTGAGGTGTAAACCTGTGGAATGTTTTTTCTTTTTGAGATCTTTCCTCTTTTTTAATATAGGCATTTATTGCTATAAAATTCCCTCTTTGTACTGCTTTTCCTGCATCTCATGAATTTTGGTATATTGTATTTTTGTTTTTGTTTGTCTCTAGATATTTTCTAATTTCCCTTTTGATTTATTCTTTGATGCACTGGTTTTTCAAAAGTGTGGTTTTTCATTCCCACATAGTAGTGAAGTTTACATTTTCTTTCTGCTACTGTTTTCTACTTACAATCAACTGTGGTTGGGAAAGATACATCTTAACTAACCATAGTGCAAAGATCAAGAAGAGGAAAGTAACTTTGAGACAACCTTCTCAACTAAAATGCAGATCTTACAGCAAATTCACCACTTTTTCACTAATGTCCTGTTCTCTGCTCTTGGATTGGCATAGCAGTAGGAAGTAATTTCTCCTCAGCTTCCTCTAGCCTTTAAAATTTTCTCACTCTTTCATGACCTTAAATGTTGTTGATTTGGTATAACTATTAAGAAGAAAGGTTTCCTAATGAAAGAATGCCAAAATTCTTTGGTAGCAGTTTTCCTTATTGGCATATCTTTCTTTTTTATTTTTTTTTTAAGATTTTTTTTTTTTATTTTTCCTTTTTCTCCCAAAGCCCCCTGGTACATAGTAGTGTACTTTTAGTCGTGGGTCCTTCTAGTTGTGGCATGTGGGACACCACCTCAGCATGGCCTGATGAGTGGTGCCATGTCTGCGCCCAGGATTCGAACTGGCGAAACCCTGAGTTGCCGAAGCAGAGCACACGAACTTAACCGCTCGGCCACGGGGCTGGCCCCTGGCATATATTTCTGAATGACTGGGCAGGTGTCTGGATTGAAATGCTTTCTGCATACAAAGTAACTCTTGATTTCCATACCAAATCACAGGGCTGCATGTAAATCATGGAATGTATATACCCCACCTAGGCTGTCCTTCACCTTCTACTTTATGTTTCTGGGTGTTTCATTTGCACTTTCCTTTCCACTTTTCAGTGACAGATTTCCAGTTTCAATTTACCTGTGATTTCTTGTTCATGAGCATTTAATCTTCTGACTTTAACTTTTCAAACTGACAAGTCATCTTCGGGGGTCCTTGGGATGAGAGTTTCTCATTTGAAAGCACTCCTTTATTGCTTTTTCTCCTCCCTTCCTCCTCTCTGCAAGCCTCTCAGGTTGGCCTTCAGAGCATTTCCTCTTGTGGTCCTGGTTACAGTTTCCATTCATGACAATTGTTGGGGTTCTTTGTGGGGTTAAAAGCACGATGTGGGGTCATGGTTGATCCAAGGATCCTCAAATGCTGTCTCTAAAACACACTTTCTCTTTCCCTCTTCCATTCTTTCCAGGATCCCAATTTAACATGTGTCAGACTTACATTTCTGTACCTCATGCTTGTGTTTCTCTTCACTATTTTCCATTATTTGCTCCTCCTACTTTAGGGTGCACCTGTATTATTCCACTGGGTTAATTTTTCCTTCTGCCATTTCTAACCTGTCCTTTGAGGAAACTGTTAGTGAAAATCACAGAGGTCTGGAAGAAACTGCTTCTTCTTCATGACAGATCCTTTGATAATGGCTAGAGCCCTTTTATCATTATCATCACTGTGGACATGACAACAGACTGACAGAGAATTTCAGTCAGTGGCCCAAGCGCCCACCATTGCTATATGTCTGAGCTGGGATTCAGACACAGGAGGCATCAGACTCCAGGCTCTTGACCACCAAGTTATCCCTACTGTCTGCCCTAAGACACACCTAAAACAAAGACATCTTATCCTGAAACAAACTGAGGCGAGCCAACCTCCAAACACACTTAGTTCTTACTACAGTGTCATGTCTTCCCTCCAGAAACCACTGCCTGTTGCCTAAAACACTGGGCCCCCAAACACAACCAACTGCCACCCATGACTACCTCTCTAAACAAAGTCCTGGCCACTCCCTCACTGAAGCCACTCTAACCTGGCCCTGTTTGCCAAGTCCAGTTTGGGGAGGAGATCTGCCAGCTGGTTCCACCCAGGCCTCATTTCTTTCTCGACAAAACACAATCTCACACCACAGCTTGAACGTTTCCCTCTAGGAGGAGGAAAATCCTTTTCAAGACAGAAGGCTAAGAAAGACTTGCCCAATGAATATGGGGCACTAGGCAGGCCACCTAGGAAATAGAGAACCTATGAGGCTGGTTCTTCCATCAGCAAGTCCCACCCCCTTCTCTGGACCTCAGCCTTCAGGTGGAGCAATGCTTTCCTGCCTCCTAGGGCGCTCATCTTGGGAGAAATACATCACCAGGGGATGAGAAAGGCATCAGGAGGCTAGATGCCATTCCTGACTTCCATGCAGGAATTCAGACCAGTCCCTCCCCTGGCCCTCGCCCTGAGTGCACAGATATGGGCAGAGGGAGAGGAGCAGCATATGGCTTGCCTGCTTCGTCAAAGGGAGGCTTGTCGTCCCTGCCACCTGTGGCAACAACCTGTCAAGGGAACAACTACTAAGGAAAGAGCCCTGGGTCCTGGAAGGCTCCTGGAAAGTATCATCACCCCTGTTGAAGGAGGAAGTTGCTGGGAAACTGGTGTGCCCCACCAGGGAGTTAGTGCCCTGCACGGCCAGGTCCTCCACTGCCATGCCCAGGTACCCCAGGGAGGGTGGTGGTGGTGGGAGGCGGGGAGTTTTGGGAGAGAAATGTGAACGGGTGAGGAGGGGGCTTCCACAAGTATCCTAGAAGGCACTGGGAGAGTCGAGAACACCTAGGCGTGTGACACCAGGACAGGGGCCTCCTCTGCCACGTCTAAGGGAGGTACCGGTCTCAGAATCAACGGGTTTTGGGTGGACAACACCTCCTCAAGCGGGACTCGGGGATCTTGGCTGTCCACTGCCCCTCCCAGGACTTTACCCTTCCCTCCCAATCTGACCTGATTCCTCCCACATACGCCAGTCCGGATTCAAGGCCACAGAGGTGCCTGGCGGGTCTGCAACTCACCACCAAGTCAGGCCAACCACCGAGGCAGTGGCGGAGGAGACAGTGGCCATGGAGGGGCGGTGGCAGTGGAGGACTGGGATTTCCGGGACCTGAAGAGAGGAAGGTGCACCCCCATCTCCCATCCATCTGCATCTCCCTGCCTTCAGGGAGTCCAGCTTCCGGGAGAGGAAGCCGGTCCTCCAACTGCGCATGTGTAGGCGACCATTGTCTCTGGCCTCACAATGACCCCCACGGTTGCTAAGCAATGGGTCCACGGGGCTCTGAGGGTAAGGGTGAACCCTCTGGCAGTGGATATGTGCAGGTGCACATGCAGGTGCATGCTGTGGCCTGCATCCTTCCATGGGTCCTGCAGGTACATGGATGGATGGAAGGAAGAATGGATAAATAGATGGATGGTTGGGGCTCTTGAGTGGAGGAAGGCCGGGCAGGGCCAAGCTGATCAAGCAGGATCAGGAGCATAGCAGTGGTATCTCTTCCTCAGGTCAGCGTTGATGTGCCTGGCTCTGTCCCTGAAGGGGTCTGCCCTGTGACCCCAAGATAGGACTGCCTCTATGCTTCTGTCCGGCTTTGGTTAATTAGGGACTTCAATGCCTGGATCCACAGGCTGAGTCCATGGAGCTGCCTGTGCTGGGGGAGGGATGGGGCTTGGGCCTCCCTGCAGTCATTCCTCCCGGAGACCTTGTGGCTGTGTGGCTGTGTTGGGCTGTGTGGCTGAGTGTGATTCTTTTTTCCCCTCCTTGTCTTTCCTGGATGTTCTGAAGATGTGCCTGACCCGGCCATGGCTTCAGACCGGTGGTTGGAAGAAGCCCCTCTCCATCCTGAGAGACAGTTTTCCAAACACAAGAAACCAGAAAACCTTATCAGGAACTCATTTTTAGACTTATCTTTGATTATGGAAAATGCTTTTTAAAAAATCTCAAATGAAGTAATTTTAAAGGATACACATATTCTTACATTTGTGTAAATATTTTAAACACAATATTACATTTTTTAAAGAGATAGATGCCTAATACTGCAGAATCATGCGTGGTAATGATATACACCAACTTTAACATGAGTACCACATAAGAGGGAGATGGAGGAATGTGTAAGGATGAGACGTTAACCTGTGAAGCTTTAAGTTAATGCAATGAGAGATCTACAGCCAATATGTAAACTTATTGTCATCAGTTGAATCTGAATACTGGCTACATAATGATTGTAAGATTTTGGAATTCTCTTTACATTTTAAAACTCATAATTAAAAAGAAATAAGTATATCTTCAGTTTTACACATTATAGCTTGAATTAAATATGCCACGTAGACATCTCAATGGAAGCAGAAGAAATTATTTTATAAAATAAAACGCAAATTAGAAATTAAAAATTCTGGGTAAATAAGTGGAGAATTATATTTTAGCACTGGAGACTGAGGGCTAAGGGGAAGAAAGAGGTTTTGTCATGGAAGCCAAGTTACACAGGGATATAACAGAAAGGAAATGATAAGTATATTAAATTTGCTGTGGTCCATTGAAATAAGGACCAAAAATTGCCTATATAAACTAGTGACATGGATGAAGATGAGGTATAATGGAGAAATTCAGAGGCAAGTGAGTAAGAGTTTTTGAAGAAAAAGCTGAAGATTTATCTTATATCAGAGGCATTTGGTTCAAAATTTAAAAGATATAAAAATGTTTTCAGTCAAACGTATAACTGTTTCCTTCCCCTTTCCCCAGCCATCTATTTCTTTTCCCCAGAGACCAGCACTATTACTAGATTCTTACATATCCATTTAAAGATATTATACTGATTATCAGAAATCATATGTGTATTTCCATACATATGACAGCCTATAAATACTGCTGTACCCCTTGCTTTTTTATTTTGAAACATCCATTCAAAAATGTTTTTTTCCCACTAAATATAGTTAATTATTTTTTCAGTGTAAACATGTGAAACTATTTGAGTAGTTTAAAAATACACTTAAGTAAAGAATTAGAGTTGGTGGATGGAAAAACTGACACCTTATTTACCTGCTCCCATATTTCTGGAGCTAACTTGATGCTTGTGTTTTTTTAAGTGCTCAGAATTCCATTAATTTCAGTTTTTTCTTAAACTATCTCATGTCTGTTTTTCTTTCTTGCAACTTTGGTTCATACCGGACTCACTAAGGAGCATTTAATTCCCACAAATACTATTTGTATTTCATAAATGACATAAACGTAAAGCACAAAGAGGAAGTGAGTTTTAATGAAAGAAATGAGATATTTATTAATAATTGGTTAAGGCAACACACAATCATCATCATGCACCATTCAGAGAGAGTGTGAATCATTTGTCAGTGCTTACATAATCGAAATAGAAAGAAATTGGTCAGTTTAGGCTAAGTTATGCTGTATTAAGAAGGAATCCTAAATCTCAGTGATACATAACATATATTTATTTCTTGCTCTTGCTGTATATCCAACATTTCTAGGTTTAAATCTTTTCTGTGTTGGTCTTCATCTTGGTATCCAGGCTGAACGAGTAATCTCTATTTGGGATACTGGAACAACATTTTAGCAGAGGAAAAGAAGAGACAATAATCCTATACAATGGAACACAAAACTAATACTTGTAAGTGGCACATATCAATTCTGTTCATGTTTCACTGGCCAAACTAAATATAATGGCTAATCTTGATGTCAGTGGGGTAGGAAAATATAATCATCCCATAAGGAGGCACATTGCAAATCATATGGCTAAGTATGACATCAAGAGTGGGAGGAGATAGAATCTTCCTGTTGGGAAGGACCATGAATATTTGGAAACAATAATATAATGAACTGCCAGAAGCAAAACATAGTTGTCTTACATTCCACTGACCATCATTAAAAGACCACATCCTTATATGAACTCCACATCATGTACAGTATTTATCACGATGGGGCATGTTCCTTCTAATTTATTAATTGGAAATCAAATGATCACCTCAAGAGAGGCAAGAAAAGCACTTGAAAAAATCTAACATACTTCCTCATATAAACTCTAGACAATGACATGAGGAATACAATGGTGTTTCCTCATCTGAAAAGGGACATCTACAAAAAACCTACAGCCAACATTACTCCTAATGGTGAGTGACTGAATGCTTTCTCCCTAACATCAGGAACAAGGCAAGGAGGTCTACTCTCGCCATTTCTATGCAAAATTACACTATAGGTACCTACCCATACAATAAGGCAAAACTAAAAGAAAAAAAGGCAACCAGAATGAAAAGGAAGAATTAAACAGCCTCTTTTCACAGATGACAAAATCCTATCAAATATACAAAAAAGTTATTAATAAGTGAGTTTAGCAAAGTCAATTTTATTTCTCACTAAATCAACCGTATTCCTTAAAACTAGCAACAAACAATTGGAAATTAAAACTAAAAAAAAAATTTTAATAACATCAAATATATGAAATACTTAGTGGACAAACCTGACCAAAAATGTACAAGATCTAGACACTGAAAACTACAGAACACTGCTGAAAGAAACTAAAGAACACCTAAATAAATAGAGATATACACATCATATTCATGGATCAGAAGACATCACGTTGTTAAGATGTCAATTCTGCCCAAATTGATCTACAGTCAACACAATCCGAATCAAAATCCCAGCAGCCTTCTTGATGAAATTGATAAATTGACTCCAAAATTCATATGGAAATGCAAAATACTAAGAATACTCAAAACAACTTTGAAAATGAACAAAGTTGGAAGACATTATTTCCTGACTTCAGAGTTTAAGTGACAACAATCTAGGCTGTGACACTGCCTTCAAGACAGAACAGCAGACTAATGGAACAAAATACAGAGACCAGAAATAGGCCCACATATATATGGTCAATTGGATTTTTACAAAGGTAATTCATTAGAGAAAGAATAGTTGGGTCAAGAAACAGTACTGGAACAACTGGATATACATACTTAAAAACGTTACCTTCAATCTGTACCACTGAGCCACTTCAGATTTATCCCAGGATGAATATGGATCCAACTACCTTCCTTCCATCCTCTTCTTCCTTCTCTCCTTCCCTTCCTCCATTTCTTTATTTCAAGAATGGATACCCAGTTGTCCCATAATCATCAGTGAAACTGATAATCTACTTGGGATGCCACATTCAAAGTATACCAAATTTCCTCATGTTTTTGGATCTATTTCTGGATTATATATCCCATTCATTCTGTTCCATTGGTCTGTTTATGCATCAGTATGTTATTCTTTTAGTTAGGGCTAGTACACTCTCACTCTTTTTCTTTTCAGAGTTCACTGTCTATTCTTACATGTTTATTTTCCCATATGAATTTTAAAACCATCTTAACTAATTTAAAAAAAGATGCTGTGGGTATTTTTGTATACATCTCATTAAATTAATAAAATGGCTTAGGGAGAATTGGTATCTTTATGAAATGCATGTTCCTTTCCAAGACTATGGCATGTATTTCCATTTGTTGAAATCTTCTTTTACGTCCTTCAATGGTAATATTCTCATGGATGTTTTACACAGTTCTTATATTTATTTCAAGGTATTCTACTTGTTGCTTACTGCAAAGCATATTTTCTTTCATTAAATCTTTTAGTTGGTTGTTTTTTACATAAGTCTACAGATTTCTTTCTTAATAACTTTATCATTTAAATTTAAATGCAAAGTAACTGCTGTGAAATACTCACAGGAAAGATCTCTGAGAGAAGCAATATGCTTTATGACATCCCAAAGACACTGTGGCCTGGGGAAAACTGGAACAAATTGGCAGTTTAATTTCATTTGCCCCCTTAACTCAGATTTAAAATCTGGTCTAGACTCCTGGAGAAATGGTGCAGCCTTAAATAGCCTCCTTAAAAGGATTTCTCTGAGCCAACGTTTTCTCTTCAGATCCTGGGGTTACAGTGCCTCACCTAGAATCTCGAACCCCAAATTCTAACCAGTGGTAGTCAACGTTGCCCCTTATAAATTATTCTTTAATCCGGTGCTTCTCAAACCAGCTACACCAACGTTCCCTAAACAATAGTGTAATTCCTACTCTGAGGGTCTGACACAAAAGCAGAAATCTCATGAAAATAAGTTCCTTTAAAATATTTCTTCCTGTCTCTATTTAAAAGTCATACTAATTTGATATTCTATGCAATAACATCTCTTTTTTTTATAATTTTTTTTAAGGATTGGCACCTGCGCTAACAACTGTTGCCAATCTTTTTTTTTTTTTTTTTTTTTGCTTTATTTCCCAAACCCCCCTGGTACATAGTTGTATGTCTTAGTTGCAGGTCCTTCTAGTTGTGGGATGTGGGACGCCGCCTCAACGTGGCCTGACGAGCAGTGCCATGTCCGCGCCCAGGATCCAAACCCTGGGCCGCCGCAGCGGAGCGCGCGAACTTAACCACTTGGCCACGGAGCCGGCCCCGCAATAACATCTTTTATGCAGAAATCCTGTTTTACATTATTCATTAGATCCATGATGTAGCTTTTTCTCTTCCAAATTTTCGTGTAAACCGACGTCCAGAAGAAGCGTCCTTATTTTTACCATTTTACACTCGAAGAAACGAGGACCAGAGGCCATGACTTGCTGTCACCCACATTCACATAGTGATCGCGCACTCTCTCACTCTCATACAATCACACCCTTCAAGCAGCTTTTCACTCAAAACACCCAGTCACTCTCGCAGTCACACTCAGGGTCACACAGCCGGAATGCATCTATGCACATCCCCAGCCTCCTCCCAGAATGCGGGTGCGTCTCCCAAAGCCACCAGGCCAGCCCGCGTCTAAAACTCCCAGGCCTCATCTTCCCCACTGCACACCGCTTGAAATCGATAGCCAGACAGCCCTACACAAAAGCATAAATTGTAACTGATGCGTCTGCTCACTCTGAGGACGATCGAGGGCTCCCAAAATCTCCAGGCGCGGCCTGGGCGACTACTGGTTAGGTCAGGTTGGGCATCAAGATGATTGGCTACAAACTCTCTCCGTTCAGTTCCGCCATGTTTGGGGGCCATAGTCTGGACTACATTTCCCAGAAGGCCGTGCTGCCTTAATTTTCCGCGAGAACTTCAATGTCCGTGGGACTATGCTCTTCTGAACGTGAATAAGCAGTCTCGGAGGAAGATAACAGAGATATGATGAATTTTCTGGAATAGAGATCTCTCATAGAACCTGGGCTAGGGTTTCGGGAAAACTCCAAGGCATTTCACTTCAGGCTGGGATGGAGTTTTTTGGTCCAGGATCAGTCTTGTGGCAAAGAGGGACTCGACGACCCAGCTGGACTACATTTCCCGGAGGCCTTCGCTGCCCGCGTGCTTTCCACCGGAACTCAGCCAGCTCCTGGCCAGAGGACCGTTCGGTGGAGCTCCTCGAGGCCTGATGCTCAGGGCCACGTGGTCCAGGGCTGCCCGACGTGTGGAGTCCCAGTGCCGGAGCGGTCCAGACCGAGGTCTGCAGCCAGGCAGTGGAAAGATCGTGTGTGTCTAATAAGACTTTTAAATCCGCCTGGGACGTCTGTCTCTTTTAACTGCAGCATTTAATCCATTTACATTTAATGTAGTACCAGTAGATTTAGATGTGAATATGCTGTTTTATTTTTTACTTTGTGTTTCATGTTTCCTTTTTCTCTCCTTTTTTTATGTTGGATTGATTTGTTTTTATTATTCCAATTTTTCCCTTATTCGTTTGTAAATTCTTTTAGATATTACAACAGGAATTCTTGCCATACTTATCAAAGTACAAGGTCATCAGTATGCTTACTCTCCTCTCAGATAATGCATTTAATTTCATTTACCCCCTTAACTCAGGTTTAAACTATGAGATATCAATTACTATGTATCTGTTTTATTGAAACATAGATATGTACAATTACTCAACTTTATGTACAATTTTACTCAAATTATGTACAATTAAACAGTACAACTGCTGTTTTGTTTGTCAGTGTTCATTTACATTTACTCAAAACATTGTCTGACACAGTGGTCAAACAAGTAGAAAAGTTAGGTCTTGTGAAAGAGTAACAAAGGAGGACACTAGTTACAGGCAGTAAAGAAAGGTTCTGTTCAGTAAAAACTACTGTAGTAGAGAAGAGAGTTCAGTGTAAACTGAGCTCAATTTTCCTGAAACAAAAGGCAGAAGACTTTTTAAATGCTGGCATGTGCTAAAGAAAAGACAGTAAGGGTGTTGGGGGGAGGGAGGGTTGGTCCATGTGACAGAGCCATCTGGGTTTGCTAATTTGTGCTTATCCAGAGGAGAAACAAACGTCTCGTGTCTTTATGACAGGAGGTGTGTGTGCAAGTTGGAGCAAGGTGCCCACGGAAGTTAGGCCATTACCCTCCCACACAGACCAGGCGACAGAGCGGGAGCTGTTTCCTCAAATAGCTTGAATTCAAAAAGATGGCTCCCAGGTCCTTGAGGAGATGGTGATGGTAGAAAATCTACATCTTAAGGGACAGAGAAAGCATTTATAATTACACACTTTCTAAAATAACTTCTCTGAGAGAGACCTATCAGCCTATTATCAGGTTTTGGCTTGAACAATAAATTCTCAGGGAAGTGTTGAGCCTTTTGAGGCAGGCATTGTAAGGGAGCATGAGAGACACTGCCTGAAGCTCCTAGAAGCCATGCCAGAATTGGTCAAGTCTCTTAGTGTGAGGATATGTACAGAATCGTTTGTGCCAAGAGATTTTGCAGTTCTAGATCTTCCTATCATAAGATAAAATATGTTGTCTTGATAAGGAAAAATGTTTACAACATTAGCTAATACAGTGTTTCACAGGAATAACCATTTTAGTGCTGTGTGGGACTGTCCTGGCATTACAGGAAGTTCAGCGTCCCTGGCTCTTAGACATGAAATTCTGTTAGCATATTTCTGTCATTGTAACAACGCAGAACATGTTCCCACGCGTTTCCAAATCCTCCCTGGAGCAGGACGTGATCACCCATGGGGAACCATTTATGCAGTGATAAACATGAGTTTATCTAATCAGAATTTATATGGATACGTGATGCTAGAGAAATACAGCAACTTGAGCTCTATGAGTAAGATTGTCTACCTGCAGATAATTTAGAATTTGCCCTCTGAAATCCTCGCCTCCTCCCGTGTACAGTTCTGTTGGCTGAATTTCTGCTAATTCATGAGGGAGCAGTTAGCTCTCTGTCTTCCCCGTCCTGCAAACTATCACAGTTTGCCCTTCCTAGAACTGCTTCTCTGAGGCAACTGGACTTGAATTCTAGAATACTTTCAGCATGATCATATACTATTTATTTCCTTGTAAGCAGGCCTTTTTTTTAAGTCAGACAATCTCCTCTTTGGAGCAAAGGAAGGAACCACAAGAAATTGTGAGGGATGGGACAAAAGGACATCTCCGTTGAGTGGATCATCATCACAGGAGTGGAAGCCATTGCAGGTGAGACCCCAATGTATCCGTGAGGAGTCAATACCTTTCAAATGTCTGAGATCCCCCCTCAGGGTCCTAAACCCTGTGATGGAAAGACCTGAATCATAGGGGAAAATGCGTTATCTTTTCAG